CTGCCACTTTAAATGGGTCTGTGCAGTTACCGGCTTGGTAACAACCAGTTACACTTTTCTATGTGTCCCCTCTTGTTTTTCAATATACAATCATGAAACTCCTCATTAGCGAAGTGGTTAAGTTGCATGCTGTGAAACTTTCAAACTAATCTCCAGGACACACTATGAGTGTTCATTCTTACCCTCAGACTTCTTTCTTGTCGACCACAACGTAAGGATGGTTTAAACAGATCTGTCAGCCTTTGCTCAGAAACAAGAGGTTAAAGAAATTTAGATTTGGTTCATTTGAAAACTCAGGAAATGAAAATCTAGATTTTCACTTAAGTTAATTAAACTAAATGTGATTCATAACCTTTATTTCTTGGACTATTCAAAAATGATTAAGTATTGTCCCCAAGAAAAACAAATTATAATTCATGAATAATCAGTAGCATCTCTTAACAGTTAGCACTGCCTCTGTTTCTTGAAATAACAGCTGAATCAAAATATATTTTTGTTTCCTTTTGACTGGCACTCATTCTTGCAGAAGGTAAACTCCATTTTCTGTTATTTCTCCCCCCGGCCCGCCCCCCCAACCAGGGACCCAGATGGAAGGATGCTCTTGGATATTTTCGATGAGAACCTTCACCCTCTTTCGGTAACCCTCCCCCGGGGTCTCAGGGTGTTGTCCAGTCGTGTCTCTGTTATTCTTGTTGGGCAGCCTGTCATCGAGAATCTCTCCTTTCCCAGAAATCCGAAGTGCCACCAGATTATGACAAACACAACCCAGAGCAGAAGCAGATTTACCGGTTTGTTCGGACACTGTTCAGTGCTGCTCAGCTGACTGCGGAATGTGCCATTGTCACCCTGGTGAGTGCCCACAGGGTGACGCGGTCGTGGAGTGGGGCGCAGGCAGGAATGTCCATCACGGACCTGAGAAGCACAGCACCACTTCAGGGTTGTCTTTTATCTGGGAGGGTAGCGACGGGATCTCCTAAAAGAGGGTGCGTGCGTGGTCTGCTCCGCAGTGCCCACCTAAAGCCCATTGTCAGATTGCACTCAGAATCAGGAAAGCTGAAATGCTACGTGCAGGTAAGTGAAGCACGGGGCCCAAGGGCCTGAGAAGGACCAGCGCCTCCTCATTAACGTCCGGGTTTCTGGTGTTGGTTCCCTGCAGAGGTTTAATACCATTGATCAGATGTGATAAATTCATACATCGGAAGGACTGCTGTAGTTGCTGCCTTCTCTTTTGTGATTTTCGTGTAAATATGTGTCTGTAAGATACTCAGAGACAGCATGGACATAAATCTGCACTTTAAGACTTGAGATAAAAATCTGTAACCTTACTTAGACTCTGAAAACCTTAGGGACGGACTCTTTAGGTCAGATCTCATTTGGGAAATAGATTTGACAGTGTAGCCCATTGTCACTGACCTTTTGTCACTGACATTGTGTGTAACTCAGATAAGAAGTCAGCTCTGCCAGTGCACGGGCTGCCCCGAGGGACCAGAAAGTCATCCCTGCGGTTCCTGAGAAGAGATTGGTGTGTGACAGAAAGTGTACAGGACCCTTTGTGTCTCTGCCACACTAAGAGCCCTGTACTCTCGGATGATTGGACAGTAACCTGTTTGTTTGTTCATTTCTTCTCTCATGGAACTTGCCGCCTGATAAGTTAACAGACATTCAACAAGTCTTCCTCTGGTGATCTGGAGTGATGATAGGTCCTTAGGTCATGATTGGGAAGCATATTTATTGCTCAGCTTTGTTCCTCCAAAGGATGTCACGTCCTTAACAAAACACACCTTGGGCAGCAGGATTGATATTTTAATGAAAGGAGATTGTGATAAAGGGGAGGAAAGGGTGAGAAAATCAGATGACACCGTGGATAAGATTAGTACTAAAATCCACACCATGATGAAAGATTTATTTTGAAGCTCCTGCAGATGGAATGTGGTGGGGTTTTTTTTACCTTCCATTCCTAAGAAAACTGTGACCTGACCGTGCCCCGTAGCGCCTTAGAGTTTGGATTTATTAGCATGAAGGAGGAGGTTAGTGTCCTGTGGAGGACACAGTTTCTGCAGAGACATGGAGAACATGTAAAGTGTGTTTCCCTGTCTCCGAGGGTGGCTGGGAGGGGTGGCTAGTTTGTCTTGGGAGTACTACGAGAGTGGTGTGTATTTCTCAGTCATTGGAACTGCTGAAATCTTCTCTTGTCCTGTGACATCAGCTGGTGGCTTAGCAGGGTATTAGCATACATACATGGCAGTCTTGCTGGCTACAGCCTAAAGGTGAGCAGCTTCGGGGCCCGCACAGCAGGCCCAGCTCTGCAGACCGATTCTCTGGGGCCTGCTTGGTTGGCCGAGTCAGCCTGGGGCCTGTGGGCAGAGGGCAGACAGCTGCGAGCTCTGAGCGAGCCCCGTGTATGATGATCCTGCCCTTCTCTCTCCAGTCTCTAGAGGTAGAAGCAGCCGTTCACAACAGGTCCGGTCCAGAGCTGGCAGAGCTGCGTCTCTCTCGGCCTTTCTCCTGGGCCTTCTCTTGGTGGCGTGCCCGGGGGGAGGCAGGGGGGCCCACAGTTAGCTCTGCACTGCTGCCCACAAGGAACCAGACTGCAGCCTGCCTGTGCAAGGAGCTTCCAGGACCTTCAGCCACTCGCTCCTGGCTGTATCAGGGAGCACCAGTCATGCCAGCCCAGCTGGGTCCCCCTCGAGTGGCCTGGCAGTTCCAGCCATTGCTGCATGGCCGTGAGGGCTGCCATTCAGCCCCTGGACTGCAGCCCCAAAGTGCGTCTCAGAGGATGGTGCTCTGATGGTGAGGCGACCTGTGGAATCTATCCATTCTGACCCTGAAGACTCCCTTTTTAGGTCACGTTGGTGGTTTCTAAGGAAGCCAAAAGCTGTTGTTCAGATGGTGTCCAGTGACGAATCCAAATATCTCATTCTTGTGCTCCTTCAAATACTAGCAAATAGGAAGTGCTGTTGAGGTCCCAGTTGGCTAAGCTCTGGGTACGAGACTCTTAAGATGGATGGACCCAGTGCTGCTCTTCAAAATCCATGGAAAAATTCCAGCATCATCGGAAGTTTGGTCACATATCCTGGATTCCATGAGCTTGCATTTTCTTCCTCCCCCGTGCCTTTAACAGTTTTATTTTGTACAGTTAACTGAATGCTCTTTGTAGCTCAGTAAGTGCTCACTAGCCTGTATTTTCTAGAGACTCCCGAGGATGGTTCTTCTTATGAAATTAAATCTGAAAATTTAATTGAGCAAGAGTGTCCTGTTAGCAACGGTCTAGGGAATGGTGTTGAGAAAGAATCAATTGTCTGTTATTTTACTTGGCAGAGAATTAAAACACCCAAGTGGAGTTTACTAAAGAAATTGCAGCTGACCCTTGAATATAGCTTCACTGGCAAGTTCTGCTAAATTACATGCTGTTAAGTGGCGCTTATTATGAATGCCTTATCTCCCAACATAACAACTGCCTTCCCTCAGTAACGGAGTGTATTTTCATGTCTAATTCCTCTAGTTAGCCCTAGTGGAATATCAGACATGGTAGATGCCCGTTATTTTTCTCTAAATGTTATCTTAACTATTACCTAGTGTACCTGTTAATATCTATCAACTATGGTAAAGTAAGTAAGAAGAAAATTGAGTAGGCTTCTTTTTGTACTGAGTCAATGAGGAGCTGTTTCATTGGGGAGCTTGGAGAGTTTTACATAGCTCGTCTATATAAAGGAATAGAGTCTTAGGGATCTGGATGAAGATTGTTCATAACAATTGCTTTAAAAAATCTGGAGTTGGGTCCAGCCTCAGTTTTCTGCTTGTTTTTTTTTTTTAAGAAATACTTTATTTTATTTTTAAATTTTTTTTGGCCACACCCCATAGCTTGTGGGATCTTACTTCCCCGACCAGGGACTGAACCCGTGCCCTCGGCAGTGAAAGTGTGGGGTCCTAACCACTGGACCACCAGGGAATTCCCTATCATACATCTTTTTGATTCTCTCCTTGGAAGAATGAGAAGAATTAGTCATCAACCTTTGTAAAAACTATGGAAATAATCATTCCACAGTTCAGAAAAGTGTAAAACATACCAATAAACAGATTTTTATGAAGGGGGACTTTAAAAGGCATTCATACCTTGTGATCCAGCTTAAGCAGTGGGCTTTGCGGGTATTTTTTTTTTTTTTTTAATTTATTTATTAATGTGTTAATAAATGTGTTGGGTCTTCGCCTCTGTGCAAGGGCTCTCTCCAGTTGTGGCAAGCGGGGGCCACTCCTCATCGCAGTGCGCGGGCCTCCCACTACCGCGGCCTCTCTTACTGCGGAGCACAGGCTCCAGACGCGCAGGCTCAGTAGTTGTGGCTCACGGGCCTAGTTGCTCTGCGGCATGTGGGATCTTCCCAGACCAGGGCTCGAACCCGTGTCCCCTGCATTAGCAGGCAGATTCTCAACCACTGCGCCACCAGAGAAGCCCTGTGGGTATTTCTGATGTTTGTCTTCACACTAAGTTATGGCAGTTTATAAATCCTATATTACATGGTTTCATTTTACAGCTTCAGCTGGAATTATTTCATTTAAAAATTCCACTTCAGGGACTTCCCTGGTGGTCCAGTGGTTAAGACTCCACGCTCCCAATGCAGGGGGTCTGGGTTCGATCCCTGGTCAGGGAACTAGATCCCGCATGCCGCAACTCAGCCCACATGCCTCAATTGAAGATCCCTCACGCGGCAACGAAACTCTCACGTACTGCAACTAAGACCCGGCGAAGCCAAATACATGCATACATACATACATACATACATAAATATTAAAAAAAAGAAGATACTTCACACCCATTAGGATGACGATAATTAAAAAAAAAATACAGATAACAAGTGTTGGCAAGGATGTGGAAACATTGTAACCCTTGTGCATTACCGGTGGGGATGTAAATGGTTCAGCTGCTGTGGAAGATAGTATGGTGGTTCTTCAAAAAATTAAACATAGATTATGATATGATCCAGCAGTTCCACTTCTGGATGTATACCCAAAAGAATCAAAAGCAGAGACTCTGTCGACAGATACTTGTACACCAGCGTTCACAGCAACATTATTCACAGTAGCCGAAAGAGGAAACCACTCAAATGTCTGTCAGTGGATGATAGATAAACAAAATGTGGTCCATACATACACTGGATCATTATTCAGCCTTGAAAAGGGAGGACATGTTGACACATGCTACAACGTGGAACATTATGCTCAATGAAAGAAGCCAATCACAAAAGGACAAATACACTGCGATTCCACCTATGTAAGGTACCTAGAGTAGTCACAGTCACGGAGGCGGAAAGTACAAAGGTGGGTGCCAGGGGCCAGGGGAGGGGAAGTGGGGAGTTGTAATAGGTACAGAGTTTCAATTTGGGAAGATGAAAAAGTTCTGGAAATAGAGGTAGATGGTGGTGATTTCACAACACTGTGACTGTTCTTAATGCCACAGAAATGATTAAGTGGTAAATCTTATGTGTATTTTACAATAATAAAAATATACATTTATCAACACTGCCTGTAAATCTACAATTACCTCAAAATAAAGAGTTTAATTTAGAAACAACTACAGATAGAAATAAATAGCTTTCTTCCTTTCACTTCCTTTGTTCTCCTTCTTGGCACATTGGTGGTTTGGGGTTTTTTTGTTTGTTTTTTTAAACGGAACTTATTTTTTTGGCTGTGTTGGGTCTTCGTTGCTGCATGCAGGCTTTCTCTAGTTGCGGCGAGCGGGGGCTGCTGTTTGTTGCGGTGCATGGGCTTCTCATTGTAGTGGCTTCTTGTTGCGGAGCACGGGCTCTAGGAGTGCGGGCTCCAGTAGTTATGGCTCGTGGACTCTAGAGCGCAGGCTCAGTAGTTGTGGCACACGGGCTTAGTTGCTCCGCGGCATGTGGGATCTTCCTGGACCAGGGGTCGAGCCCGTGTCCCCTGCATTGGCAGGCGGATTCTTAACCACTGCGCTACCAGGGAAGCCCAGTGGTTTGTTGAATGCGTGTTGATGTCATAGTTGTCAGACTATAGAGTGAGAAATTAACCCGCAGCTCCTAGAACACTTTCCTGCCCCAGAGTCTTAAGGGCCGGCCTCATCCACACATCCAGTTACGGAGTGTGCCTCTCAGCCCATTTTGCCTCAGACTCGTTGAGCCCTTTGACTTTTTAAAATACGTGTGATCAGGCTGTCAGCGCCTGTTTAAAGCTGAGCTGGGGGAGTGCAGTGAACATCTGGGAGTTGCTTTGCGTGTGGTGGCAGGTGTGGAGCAGTAACAATGCAGGTCACCAGGCGCTGGCATGCTCGTGTCTTCCAGGTGTACCTCGAAAGGCTTCTAACGTATGCAGAGATTGACATCTGTCCAGCCAACTGGAAGCGGATTGTTCTGGGGGCCATCCTGCTGGCCTCCAAGGTTTGGGACGACCAGGCCGTGTGGAACGTGGACTACTGCCAGATCCTGAAGGACATCACGGTGGAGGACATGTGAGTGTGGGCGGGGGTGTCTGCGGAGGAAACCCGCCCCTTTGTGGACCTGCTCAGTGTGGTTATGAGTGGATGTGATTGCACGTCTGTTGTGGGCTGGCCGAGCAAGGACACAGTTGCTGAAACCCTTATTCTAGGCGAACCTTCCTTTACCTTCCTGCTCCCTGTCTGCGGTGGGGCTCATCCCAGCTCTGTATCCACTGCAGACTGATAACAGGCAGCAGATGGGCTAAAATGTTACCTGTTTCTGTTCAGAGAGAAGACTTTCACTGCTTTTGTCACGTTTTGCAAGTTCAGTTGCTTAAAATGAGCGTTCTGTCCTCGAGGTCCCCCTGTGCTGTCCTGGTCGGGCTGCGTGTTCTCAGGGCACCATCCTGAGCTCACACTTAGCTGCAGCCCAGGGCTGGGGTCCCGGAGGCTGGGCGTACAAGAAGTGGGGTCAGAACCTCTCAGGAGCAATGAGCTGTTCTGGAAACAATCAGGATGAATTTCTTACAGTTCCTTATGGTTTACAGGCATTTCTGACATGATTCTTGCTAATATTTTTCTCGTCTTGTTTGGCTTCCTTGAGGAAGCTTTGAGCTGGAGCAGGTTCCACTGTGTCCCTGGACCCAGTGACCAGTGTGGGCTCCTCCCCACCCTGCCCCCCTTCTTCCGGTTGCTGGTTCGCTGGGCCACCCCATTTTTGTGCTGCCCTGGGAGCTCCTGTTTGTGTTTTGGGTCTTTTGCCAGAGCCTTTTCCTGCTGCAGACCTGTATGACTCCTTCCTACATGTCATTCTTTATCATAAAAAGTAAGACAAATACGAAGTTTTTGACAGCAAGAAAAATAAAATGAGCATATTTTAAAAAAATTCTTGATTACATTTCAAGGTGAAAACAGTTACTAAGATAATTGTCATCCATACCGTAAGTAGGTTGCTTCCACCTTTGAGCTGCTGTGAATAACACTGTCGTGAATATGAACACGGGTGTGCAGATACCTCCCAGAAGCCCTGCTGTCCGTTCTTTGGGATCTATGCCCAGAAGTGGGATTGCTGCTTGGTGGCTGGTCTTTAAAGTGAGCCCATTTTTCTACAAAAGCCGACAGGCCATTAGGTGATGAAAACAACTCTCTTAACTCCATTTTAGAACCCCATTTGCAAGTTGCTAAATGGCATCAGTTCAGTTGGGTTTCTTTACAGTGTTGATCTAACGTAACAAATATTTCTTAAATATTTTTTTGTTTATTGACTTGAATTTATTTATTATAAAGTTTTACATCAGAACTATTTATTATAAAGTTTTACATCAGAACTATTTCCTTATCCCCTTCGGGGCAGTAAATCCATCAAGCCCGTTCTCTCTGCATCACTGTTAGTTTTTTGATGATTTATCACATAACAAGCTGTCAGATGTCCCTGGAGGATGTACTTCTGCCGTTTGGAAATTCAGATTTGGGGAATTACTTTTATTTTCTAAATCTTGCCTTAGTTGGAAAACACAGAAGCTCTAAAATCTTTATTTTCCCCCAAACTTAAACATTCTGTTCAAGAAAACACTCAGTATTCAGGAAGGCTTGGGAAACTGCCACCTTGTTCAAAACAAGATTCCTCTTGACTTTAATCCTAGTTATACCCTCTACAAGAGGCAGTGGTGTCTAGATACGATTTGGGGCAGGAATAGCTGACTAGTTCTCTTAACATGTATACTAAAAACTTGCTGGCATTGGAGAATGGGATCTGCAGTGGCACCTCTTAGCCACCGGGTGGCAGTCTGTCCACAGGCAGCTCCCAGGTTGCCCAGGAGAGCACTTCTGCCTTAGCGTATTTTTGACACTTAAGATTTTACCTGGGTTCTTCAAAGACCAGCAACTCAAGATCCAGAAGAGCCAATGTTTTAGTTGGAATCCAAAGGCAGGAAAAAACTAATGTCCCAGTTCAAAGCAATCAAGCAGAAGGAATTCCCTTTAATTGGAGGGATAGTCAGTGTTTTTATTGTATTCAGGCCTTCGCTGAGGGGATGAGGCCCACCCGCATTAGGGAGAGCAATCTGCTTTACATTCTGTCAATTTAAAAGTTAAACTCAAACAAAAACATACTCACAGAAACACCCAGAATAATGTTTGACCAAATATCTGGGCAACCTGTGGCCTAGTCAAGTTGACACATAAAGTTAACCATCACATTTGTCAAAATTAACTTTAGGTTTATTAAAGATTTAAAAGAAAAGAAAAAAAAAAAAAAAGATTTTACCTGGGTTCCAGTATTTCACAGGATGACCTCTTATTAAATCTCACTTAAAGGAGCTATAAATACAAGTCATTAAAAGTGTAAAGTTTAGCACAACACACACATTTGGGGCTTTACTCCTTTCTCGAAGCTGCATCAAAGCAGCCCCTCCGATTAAATGACCTGAATGCGACGTCTTGGTCCCTCCCTCCGAGGCGCTCAGGCCTTCGATAACGACTTGCTGAGGTTTCTCGCTTCTGATCTGCCTGGGAGCTTCCGTCGGGGAACCAGCCACCCTGCTCACCTCCCAGCCTCCCTGCCCCCTCAGTGCTCCCGCCCCCCGTTGTCATAGCAGCACTAGACGGGCTCGGATGGCTGGATGGGGTCCCTGGCCCGGAGCAGACGGGCTGCCCCGCCCCCAGGAGCAGCCCGCCCCCACCTGGCTCCTCCCCGCCGGAGCTGGCCGCTTCCGGGGCTCAGTTCACCTATCACTTCCGGGAAGCCTTCCCTGGATCCCTCCGCCCAGGCTGAGCTTGGTGCGCTCCTTTCAGTAACAGGAATTATGGAGCACCAACCGCATGTCAGGTGCTGAGCTGGGGCCAGGCTGCACCATCAGATGTCACGGTTTCTGGCTCCGAGGAGACAAGGCGGGGAGACTGTGAAAAAGGACAGAAGTGATCCCGGGGTGCTGCCTGGAGAGGTGGCCCTGGAGCAGTGCTCCCAGACAGACCTGTCGTTTAGGACGCTTCTCCCCCCGCAGTAACTACCGAGAAGTAGGCCTCATGACAGGGAAGTTTTCAGATGCAGTCTGGCCGCCCTGGTTCGTCTTCATCCAGCTGGTTGGCTCCCTTGTGGACCAGGGGCTGTCGCTGAGAAGTTCTGAGCGGGTGGACAGGACCAGCAGCGGCAGCTCGCAGGAGTGTTAGAGATGCACGTTTTCGGGCCCACCCAGACCTGCCGGATCAGATGGGTGGGCCCAGCAGGGGGTCCTCTCATGCCCTGCAGGTGATGGGTGTGCACTGGCGCTGGGGAACCGCTCCTCCTCCCGCGGTCCAGAGGAAGGCTGGTCAGCGCGTCCTCACCTCTCCTCTCGGGAAGGACAGTCCTCTGGGTCTTGGGGAGGCCTGTCCTCCAGGCCGCTGTCCGCCCTCACTGGACTCCACTTGACAGCGCTCGACTGCATCTTTTGCCCTGTTTGAGCCAATGGCTCACGCGGAAAGGTGAGGCCAGAGCCTGCCGTGTGTGCGTGTGTGTGCGCGCGCGCGCGCATGCACAGATGTACTCAGTCTCAGTGTCAGGGTCGCCCTGAAGCACTTTCTGGTGATCATCCCAGTTAATCAGGACTCATCCTTCTGGTCACTGGACCAGGTGGACTTGGCTGTGTCCAGCAGCCTGCCCAGGCGGCCACTGGTCGGGACAATGGCTGAGCTGTCCGTTTGTGGCTTTCTCCGCAGGAACGAGCTGGAGCGACAGTTCCTCGAATTGCTCCAGTTCAACATCAACGTGCCCTCCAGTGTTTATGCCAAGTATTATTTTGATCTTCGTTCTCTGGCGGAAGCCAACAACCTGAGCTTCCCCTTGGAGCCCCTTAGCAGGGACAGGGCCCACAAGCTGGAGGTAAGAGGCGTCGGCGCCCGGCGGGTGCACTGCTGCCGACTGAGCTGTGTGCTCACGGCAGTTCCTGATACTGCGTGTCGTAAAATAAGGACGAGGTACTCTGGATTTAATTTGTACAACCTCATATTTTTGATAACCGTCTCAATGGCGATTTTTACTTAATGTGCATTGACTGTTTTTTAAGTCAAAGAAGTTTTTAAAAAACCCGTTTTTTAAAAAAGTATACCCACAAAAAGTGTTCCCAGCCCAGTTAGAGCCGGGGCCAGCCCCTGTGGTCTTGGCCTGGGTTCGGGGCCGTCACTGTTAAGCTGTGTGACTCTTTGTGTCTTATGCTTGTGTGTAGCTCAGCTTTGCACGTGCACCCAGCTCTTCCCATCTGACTTTGACGGCTGAAAGTGTGGGGACGAGGAGGCTCACGGGTTAGAGGCCTCCTTCAGAGGAGGTGCTGAGGCCCTCTGCACCTTCATCCCGAGTGTCCTCGGTGCCGAGGGCTGGCCAGGGCGAGGGCGCTGGCTCCCGGCTGACTTGATTACCTCCCCTCTGCCCCCAGGCCATCTCCCGCCTCTGCGAGGACAAGTACAAGGACCTGCGAAGACCCACGAGGAAGCGGTCAGCGAGTGCTGACAATCTGACTCTGCCCAGGTGGTCCCCGGCCATCATCTCCTAACCGTGGGCGTCCCCGCTGGAGGCCGTGCCATCCCTCAGTTTCTCCTTTAGTTCGAGAAAAGACAGTCTTGGGGTGGTTTGGTTTTGTTTCTCCTTTCCTTTTTTTAAAATTCATAGCTCCGCCAGGCTGCCTTGATGAGCACCTCCGCGCCGCGCGCACGCGCAGCAGGGCTCCGAGGACGCGAAGTCGGTACCGTGCGATCCAGTCCAGCCTTCCCAGCCCCGGAACAGCGCTTCCTTCGTGGAGTAAAGACTTTAACCCTGGAGGAGGAAGGGAAGGGAAAGGAAGTTGGCTAGAGGCACGGAAAGCGGCTTGGCCATTTCCTAAGCCCCCCACCGTCGGTCAGTAGCTGGCACCAACAGGAAAGCCCGGCGTAGGTGACGAAGTTGGATGTGCATTCAAGTCGCACGCCGCGTTCACCGCCCCACCTGGATCAGTATGCCCCGTAAGACTTCTTGCATTCCTTCTTGCTGCTTCTCGGGGGTTTGGGAGGGGGGGGATTTTTGTTTGTTTTATTCTGTTTTGGTTTTGGTCCCACAGAGCAGAGAATATAGTTTGTACCCACCATGGCACAGACATCCAAATAAATAGTACTGGCTGTTTCTCTCTGCACAACTCCTGCGAGCTGTCTTCTGAGCTTTCTTCCTGTCCAGGGGGAGCGCTTGTCACGTTTCTGTGCACCTTTATTTTAGCCGGTTTTCTCCACAGTGGCAGCATCAACTTGACTGTAGTGCTGAACCAAACGTAGCCCTTCCCCCCGACTCCTCCCCCCGGGAACATTCTAGATCACATGGGTGCTTGTGCCTTCCAGTCCTGCGGTGGTTTCTCTTTGCTCTGACGTCCTGGTGGAGGCTGCTCCCCCGCAGCCTGCGTGGGAGCCCTTTCTCCCCCTGCCCACCCCCACTCCTCTACTTCCACGTCCATTGTGCAAGCAATATTCCCCTCAATTTTTATATGTTTACTTTAAATCAAAGTTAGTCTATTTGTATAAAATTTTTTAAAAATCTAAAATTTAAAAAAATGGGGGTGGGGGTGGGTATTCCCGTGGAAGATCATTGAAGGGCAAAATGTTCCTATTTACTGAGGTATTTTTCACAGAATGATTGAATAAAAAACTCAACTTGCATTTTCATTGTGGGTGAAGTTATACAAAATTGAACTGTGAAGGTTTATGCGTCATTAATTATGACCACCTCTTTTCGTTTCTGACTCTCTCTCATTTCCTTATGGGCTGGATAAAAATCTGTTACATCAAGTAAAATTAAAGGGTTAATGATAGAATACCACGTCAGTCTTAAGAATCTGGGCCAGTGACGCATACAAACAATGCTTTGGGGTTTGCACATTTTCTTGGGTCACAAATGACAGAGGTTTCTAAGTATTTCCTTCATCAGGTCTTTGAGGCAAATGGCAGCAGAAATCTGTGTTTCACCTTCCTCCTGTGTGAGCTTGGAAAACTTTGGAATCTTATGTTATTAGTCTGTGCCCTAAACTCATCCACCTGCTCCCCAGACATGCCTGCTCCAGATGAGACATGCTTTGCTTAGTGGGAGGGACTCGGAAACACCCAACATCCCAAGAACACCAAGCCAAGTGCTAGTCAGGTTCTGTGAAATTTGTATCATGTGTAAATGGAACTGTTTGGGCCAGAAATACTGTCAAATTCTTTCTGGCTTAAACTTGCAAAAGCAAACAAGCAGAATATGAAAAGTTAATTATCCTTCCATTATAACTGTGTTGATACACTCTGTATGGGTTCCAGAATCAGCTTCTCTCGTCAAGTAAGAGTTGGATTTAGAATTTGAAATAGAGACCTAAACATATAGAAAATATCATTTTATATTCCCTAATCTATATAGCTTAAAAAGGGACATATTTTCTTAACTGAATACGAATACCTCTCAAATTAGTTCCTCCCATGTAAAGTATCTTATTTTACCCATCCATTTCAGGAAAGAGGTTCTGCTGCCTTTAAAGCAGACATCTTATTTTTATCCCTTTTATTTGAATGAGAGAGATTTGAAAATTGAATTATGTAAATATTTCAATGCATCTGCTATTATTTTATGGAGTTTATTAAACTACTTAAAAAATTGTATAGTCTGTTTATTGTATGTATGTACATACAGTCTGATAACTTAAAGTGGGTTCCATAAAACCTGACTCAGTCTTGTTTAGACTGTTGAATATTGTTTTAGCCCTGTGCACTGGACTCTACCTCTGTATAGGAAAATTTTCCTTATAAATGAGCATTGATCTGTGTTAATTGGTTATGTTTCTTACACTAAGGATTTTAAAAACTCTGCTGTAAGTGTAGATTTCAGTTTTACTTTTGCAGTGTGAATCACTTGACAGGAAGGTAGATACTTTAGGTTTGTTTTATTTTTCTACATGATGATGGAGACTTACATTTCGTTCTCTGGTTTGTTCTAAGTTTGCCAAAAAAACACCCAACAACAACCAGTACAGTACCTATTGATAAATCATCGTGATGTAATTTGTTTGCAAGGTGATTCATGCCCTACAATTAAAGCTGTATTGCTATTTAGGAACACATTGTCTTAGTGTAGTTTTTGAATGGACAGTTTTCATCATTAATGAAGGATGAAGAAAACCACACAATTTACTGACTTTTAGTTTAGATTTGACTTAACAAATGAAAGTATCCCAATGATTTTTTCCTTTTTGGCTTTTTTTTTTTTTTTTTTTTAACTGGGAGAAGAGAAAGAAGTCAGGGATTTAAAACCAAATTGGAGGGCAAGGTGGGAGGTCCTACCAAGATCCCCGACATGCCCTGTGCCTTATGCGCTGCCTGAGGCCATCATCTGGCTCCTCTCCTGGGCGGGCTGGCTTCCCGAGCCCCTCCTTTTGGCCTTTGGCAAGACCATCTCCATCTTGGGTTTTCCCTTGGGTCTGGGGGTTTTGATCCTCAGCTGAGCTGCAGAGCAGAATTTTGGGAGTGAGCGATTTTGATCCTTTCAGGATGCTTTTGGTAACCTCTCACCTGGGGCTGTATTTTACAGCTTTGAATTTTTTAAATAATAAAATATAATTCCTAGTTCATTGTAGGTACTTAGTGTTAGATAAATGGATACAGAGAACAAATAGTGCCTACCTTCCTGCTGCATTTTTTTGAATATGACACTGAGATAAAATTGAATAGGTTTTGTGGATGCTGAGTGAACCAGTTCTTTCCAAGAGCAGTGGAGAAGTGTTGTTATGTGTCCTGTAGGTGCTGAGTGATCCTCAGAAGGACTGGGGCCTCCTGGAGGCCTAGCAGAGCTCGCCACTTGTGTAGCAATGCCCTGTTTCATCTGTGATCCCTTCAGCCCCCTTGACTTCAGTGGAGTCAGCGTCTCAAGACTCCCGTTGGATGGATCACGGAGACATGGATTGTCTCCTGAAAGGCCAACCAAGGAGCCCCTATCCTTGTTGAAAAAGAGAAGGAAGTAGGGAACACACCCTCGAATGAAATGGGAAAAGGACACTGAAGGACTAATTTGGGATTCGTATTTTAAGCTCTGTGGGTTGCAAGGAAGGCCCCTGCACACACGTGCATTCAGGTCATGACTGGCAGCCCCCGCACACCGAGCCTTCCCAGCACTTCTGCACCGAAAACAGATCATCCCGCAGGTGCCAGTGGACCCCGTCAGGGGAAGGGAGGCGTGCAGGGGCTCGCAGTCGCCAGGGCTGCTGGACTCGGACCGGCCCAGGGCAGGGGCTTCCTTCCACTTCTTCCTGGTAGGTTTTCTTACTAAGTTTGCGTGTCTGGAGCTGCTCAAGGTCAACAGCGTCACTTTCCATTAGAAACGTTCATCTCTGACTTGAAAGGGTCACAGGAGGCCTCTGTGTGTCTGCATCGCTGTGAGTGTGGGCTGTAGGTCAGTGCCCGGGAGGTCCTGGTACCCACGTTGTCCATTGTAGGTCTTGCAGGAAGCACCTTGGAGGAACCTGTGTGCTTTAGGGACTCGGTCTGGGTAGGGAGCTTTATTCCTTAAAGAACTTTGTTTAAACAGAATGCAGGATAAAAGTACGGCATTCCAAAGTAACTGCCATTTTGAACAAAAATATTAAATGTAACTAGAACTTAGGCATAACATTTACAGTAACATTGGTATTGATTTGTATTGTAATGGAACCTTGGGTTTCAGTCTCAGACCAAAGTTAACTTGCTTTGCCACCTTGGACAAGTTACTTCACCTCTTTGGATCACTCAGTGAATTTGACTGGCAGAGATACACTTGCTCACGTTTTCACCACCTGTCTTACTGTTTCTAAACACACTCTGCTCAGCCATTCTTGCATCACGATTGGTGGATGCTGCTCTGCGTGGATGCAGGAAGGCTGGACCCACTGAAAGACAAGTCCGAGCTTATCTGTGAGTTTCCCCAGGGAAATCGGTTGTCTCTTCCAGGGCGCCCTCCCAAAGAAGGGTGGCCATTGGCAGATACAGCTGTTCTTAGGAGTAGGATGTGGGTATCCAGAATTCAGCTGCTGTCTGTCCTTCCTGGGTCTGCCCTAATGCACCTGAATCTGCAGCTTGTCCAGTTGGGTTTTACTGTACCTTGTGGTTCTTGTCCATGTTGATGGACAATGAAAATCTCGCAACAGTGAAGCTGGGCGTTGGAATCCTCCCCCGACAAATGTCTTGAGAAGACATCTTTGTGTTAGCCCCCAGGTGATGCTTATCCTTCTTAGACCTGCAGACCCAAAGCTCTGGGGACCACCCCGGAGGAGAAGGCCTTTAATCCTGCCCTGTGGCACTTCCGTGGAACTTGGCCACTTGCAGGCTTCCCAGATCTGCTTCTGCTCACCAGCTCCTGGATCTTCTGCAAAGGACTTGCATTTGGGGGGACCAAAGGAGTTGGGGTCCACTCCAAAGAGAAGAGCCGCATTTGGGGGGCAGCATAAGGTAAAGCAGTGACTGTGCAGGGTCAGGACGCACGAGTATGAGGCCTCACCAGGGCACATGGTCTGGCAAGTCTCAGAGCTTGGCTGGATTCCCAGAGCTTCATCTTTCTTTAAAGCAAAGAAATGTGTCACCCCCTGGGTCACCCTAAGATCCTTCCACTCCTAATACTCAGTTATCCTACGCATCACTTAGTTATTCTGAGATTTCCAGGAGCACGGTCGGGACTCAAAACAAGAGATTTACTCACCTCTGCAATATTACGAAAACAAACACAGAATTTGGGAAAGCCTACCGTGAAGCGTTCCAAGGTCTCACTGGGGAGGGAAAGACGAATCTGGTTGGTGCATTTTCTGCTTCCAGTCAGGACCACTGAGTGTGCAGGTGGCCCACTGTCACTGAGGCAAAGTGGACACAGAAGGCCTGGGGCACCATGGGGATGGGACCACCAGGGGGACGGGACCGTGTACAAACGGGTTAGACCAAGGCAGGAGGCAAGGAGACTTCATGCAGATGTTCATCTGACGAGAGTCCCAGGTGGTAACTGATCACCCTCTTGTGTTTCTGGTTCTTTTTCTTCTTCATCATCATCTTGTATTTTCATTTTTATTATATTTGATCGTTATCTGCATCTCTCCTATCAGCTTTTATAGTCCTATACTGACTGATGGCCTTTCAGAAGGTCAACAGTGGATTTAAAAGTA